ATTTCTTGGAACACTTAATTCCGTTTCTTGGAGATGCTATATCATTCCATGATAACAACTAGACTAATAGTACGATAACTTGGCGCTTGCATATCGCAATACAAATAAGTTAGAGTTTAGTGATCCATATTCAATTTCAGTCTAGCTGTAAGGTAAGATACACGAATGCCGTTATTCAAATACATTTGGAACTAGATAAACGAATTGAAGGTAAACAAATATTGGCAATCACTTGAGTTAATAAATAAGGGGGAACTAATGAATAAAGTTCTAGATAAATATTAGATTAGAACAGTGGGATTTAAATTAATTCACCGGCGCTAAAGTGCTTGTTTTGATGCTAGAGAGAGATATGCTAGAGCTAGAGAGATATTGTTTAACCAGCGGATATGAAGTGCATTCGGACCCAATCTCTGCCGAATCTGCCGAATGTCAACCGTCAAAGCGTGAATCTGGCCGTTTGTTCTGTTTACCCTAGTTCCTCTCTCCGATCGGCATTTTAGGCAGTTAAAGTGGGGAGAAAGGGACGAAACAAACGACGATTGACGCTTTGACGGCTGGCATTCAACAGCGATGGGTCCCAATGGACCTGATATCCGCCGGCAGAGGATCAATTTAGTTCCCTATACACTTTGTTCACTGTGCACCGGGTGCACTGTGCACCGGACGGAGAACGGCCTTGTACTTGGCGCGTAAAATATTACCATGAGTTCGCCTCGAATGAAGTTCGCTCTCCTTTTCTTCCGTCCCTTTTCCTATTTTCATATTTTATGCTACGAGCTCGCTTTTTCTCAAAGCTGCGCAACGCGGCCGCAGCGTCCGGCTCCGCGAACGTGGACACCGTCGATAAGCGAATGTCACGTGAGAGAATTACGCGTTTTATTGATATGTACACATTCCGATATGTAATTGTATATATATGTGTCTAGATTAAAACACTGTTTGACAGAAAAATGTTTTCAGCGGCAGGCTTTGCGTGCATTATCACGACGGCGTCACTTGGCAAGAACGAGTGCGTGGTGATACGTACGTGATGTTACAGGATGTGCGATATACGCGTACGTAGTAGGTGTGTGTTAGACTCGTGCGTAGGGACTCGTGAAAGATAACATTCGCCGTTGAATCACCGTAATCTCTGAATTTCGCATTTCCAAAGCAGGTTATCTCGTATAATTATTTAGCGCTCCAGCACATTATCAGCCGCTTGAAATTTATGGAACTTCGGCCCGACAGCTGCTAATTAGACTATATACCTGTATTTTGTTCTTCCGTATTTGTTTTTCCGGGTGACAAACATTCTGCATATTCAAGAGGCAGGAATAAATTAAGGTGGAGAATAAATTTGTCGTGATAAGTCTACAAACGTTAATACATAACAAGAAATATTGTTCACTTTATATGACGATAAAAATGAGAGGGAACGAGGTGGAAGAAAACTACAAAAACTTTTCATAAACATGGAAAAATGTCAAGAATTTATTACGTAAAATTTGGTCTGTAAATAAAATATAATTGAAAAAGCTTATCGATGAAAACGAACCCGTAAACATCGCAATATGTTTGTTTGTCGAATCGTTAAAATTTATGAGAAGATACCGCACTTGCGAACGTTGCGTCTCACCAAAAGTTTCAATGTTTGCCCATAGGTAGACGATAAAAAGATCGCTAGAATTTGCTCGGCAGTACGGGAAAAGAGTGGAAGAAAACTGCAAAAACTTTCGACTGTTTAATTAATTTTGCGAGTGTACTGCAAAGCTGTTTCTTGTGGCAAGAGCAACACGATAATGCACAAGTTTAAGATTGTCAAAAAAAGTTCGACGAATACAACTAAAGCCACTGTACTTCGTTATAAAGTTGGTGACGAACGCGGGATTACGGCGCCGCGGATTATCACATTGCATTGTGTTCTATATTTTTAATCCGCATTAGTGTACGGAAATATGTCGTAATGCCACGAAGAAGATAAAAAAAAAATCATAATCCTCCTGCGAGAGGAGAACCACGGCCAATTAACTTTTTTATTCATCCGCTCTCCATCCTCTCGATCTCGTCGGTCTTCCCAATATATGAGTGTACTCCCAAGAGTACAGGCGGCTCTATCGAGCTTCTCTCTTCTCTCGTTGTATTTCAATAATAATGTATATTCCATCACATATATTCTTCAACACTCCGAAATCTCTTTCAAATTAAAGAATTGACCTTTGTCAAATCTGAAACAGTGCCCTTCGGGACCCTTCAATTCATAAAGATAAGTATATATCTTTATATATAGACCATTAATTATTTCTTTCCCGTCAAAAATATGGCAAAGTAGAAAAGATTACAGATGTGATAACAGCCAAGCTCGCTATACGATATGTTACAAATTAAAATTGCTATATGTGCACTGAGAAAAAAAAATCATAGATTCAAAGAAATATTATTTGATTCAACTAAATGCAGCGGTCACGGGCTGTCAAGCTAACATTTGTTAATTCAAAAAATATTATATTTAAATAGATTCAGAATTTCTTGATATTACTCACGTATATTTGATTTAAATATATTAAGATTTGCATTAAACAAATCACTACAACTAAATAACGAGTTTAGTCAAATTTATAACATTTTTTTCTTAGTGTGTAAATATAATTTTTATAAAACATACAAATAAAGTTACTAAATATATAAATAGAACCTTTTAATTAAAAAATTAATATTTTATTGTTTATTTCAATATTAATTACTAAAATTGATAGGCAGTTCTGATTTCTTTAAAAAGCTCTGACACAACTATATTAATTATATACTTATTCATTGAGTTTCGGAATTTGTTATAAACTGAGATTTATAATTGTTTAAAGAGGCTCAAGACAAATGCAGTTATTGATATATATTTATAAAAGAAACGATGTATAATTAGTTCAAATTAAAAGTATATCGAGGCTCTCTTGAATAAATCGACGTAATAGAGAGGCAATAAGAGCCAAGCACAGTGATTCATGCATAATGTTATATATGGAGTAAAATGGAAGTTTTAATCGATCCCCGTAGGGTTACCATTCTCATTCATCACTACCCTTCTCCTCTCATTTAACCCTTTGGACCAACGGCTTAAACGTTTCTTCCCAAAAGACACAAGAGCTTTTCTCGCACGGAGGGCGCATCTTTCGGAAAATAAATTCCATGAACGTCACAACGTAGTCAAATTAGATAAAATACAAAAGAAAATGTGTATAAAA